TGGTTAACGTCATGTTTGACTAATCCGTAGTACTGACTGAAAAGTGAATTGACATTGCGTATACTATGTTTTAACATTGGATGGTTACAGATAACCAATAGGGGGCCATATACGTTCTAGATTACATAATAATTGATATTTATCACCAAAAGACATATGTAGTCTTTAAGGAAGCTCATACTTTAGATCGGATATAAACTCTGCACCATCGAGTTTTATTGTTAATGATGTTAGATTTTAGTTTTATTGACCAGATACTATTATTCATATACTCAATTTAAGCCATACGTTAAATGTGCCAACTAATGACACTACCCAATCATTTAGATCAAAGTAGGCAAAGTAAGGTTTGAACTTGTTACTATGTGACTGTATTTTACTTATTTTAACACAGATATTGGTACAATGAGGCACCAAATACATATGCACCACATGAATCATTCGGTTTGTGTGAGGGCTGGGATACTTTCCGGGTGCCCAGACCGAAGCAGGTGATTATCTTAGGGGGCCACACCCGGAGCCTTTGACCTAAAGGTCTGATCCACAAGGCAGTGGAGCATAGTGAAGAGATGCGTTCCCATGGTAGCCGGTGACCAACGACTGGTTCATACGCCATTTGTTCCCACAGGATACTGGAGCCCATGTGCACCATCAGTTTGGGATCCGGTTATAACGCGAATTTCATATTTACTAACGGTTAAACCCATACAATTGATCTTTCTAATCTCCAAGTTCCTCATATCAAGCAAAATATTAAGTCACCGGTCTATAATTTCATTCAATCTCATTAGTATGTTTTTGTGTTCATTTCCAATTTAAAATGATACTCACACCGTACCATTTGTCTTTATGATTTCAAGGGTACATTGGTTTTAATCTCCAAGTTAGTCATGAATATAGAGATTATTATCATTTGTAACACATGACTTTAATAAAAATTCTGTATAACTTATATTTTTGATGAAACAACACAAACACACACACAAACACGCACACATACATACACACACATACATGCATACATAGTAGTCTCTGATTTTCAACTACACTTTAAATGAGATCAGAATGTAAATTTTGTCAATAGACCCACCTTAGTAACTCAGAAAATTTATGGGTTACTTTTTCTTGAAAATCTTACTCTATGGTACTCTTATTTACTTCTATCTTTTTTATAATTAAAATTTATAATTTTTTTAATTAAATGAAGTCACCTAACTAGATTCTTAATGTAATTTTTATAAATAAATCTGTCTATCATTATTTGATATGGCGCCTAATTAATTATCAAAATTACTACTACTCCTTCTAGTACTATCGTTAATAGTAATAACAGTTGTTATTATTATTATTACTATCATAACTAAGTAAGTAATTTTATTAGTAAAGTTTCCATTTTTAGTAGCTTTACTTTAGTATAAGTGTGGTGCGTGTTACTTATATCCACATAAGTAGTATATAACAGTAGTCAGGCATAGAATGTATTTCAGCAGAAGATCGATGAGGAAAGAACGGAAACAGAATGTAATTGGTATAAAAAGGAATGAACAATGAAATTTGAGACAATAGATTGATGTTTGCAACAGGAATAGTCAAGTTTGATATGATGGATTGATATTTTGGAAAATACACGAATTACTATATGGTTTATTGAGATACTCTGTAATTTTGTGCTCAAATACATTCGATTGTACCCATTGGTGCTCTTGTTCACTACATAAGAAATATATTGTTTAATAATCAAAAGACTACAGAAATAAAACTGGGAAGAGGTTGGCGTATAGAGTAGAAATTGGAGTGGATTATCAATTGAGTTAAATTAGTTATCAAGTGAATTCAATGTTTAATTCCATTCCCTTAGTGTGTAGTTTTCTTGTATTAAAATGTAATTCATTTGATTATCCTATTGTTATTACTTAGTATTAAATCATATTTTAACTAAGTTTATTGAAATGATTTAGTTGATTAGTTAAATTCTAAATTTAAATAAGAATGAATAGATGTAGTTTACTCATTAACTAAATGACGTAATCATTACTCATAGGAATGGAATAAAACTGATATCTGATTGGTAGATCGGATATAGGTAGATTGGAGGATGAAATATCTATTCAATCAATGACTATAATCCTCAGTTTAGTGGTTGTGGAGATTGTTAAGCTTTTAATTGAAATCATGAACCGATTGATGTTAGACCACTATTGAAAACCTGGAAGCACTGGATGGCCGTTTCGGAGCTAATCCGTGTCGGGTAGAAACAGGTGTCTACCTCAGTACAATCGAAGGTGGTCGCACAATTTCGTGGATTGGTTGAGGTTAGACATTAACACCATTGGATGCCGGCTCAATGGTCCAGTAGGTTAAGCGTTCGCGCACGAGACTGAGTGCCCTGGGTTTGAATCCCGCGGACGGGATCGTGGATGAGCACTGCCGAAGAGTCCCACAGTAGGACGAAATGGCCGTCCATTGCTCCCAGGTTTTCAATTGTGGTGGTCTAACATCAATCGGTTCATGATTTCAATCAAAAGACTATAATCCTGTTATTAATTAGATAACAACATTTATTAAATACCTTTAGTTACTTAACATTTAAAATAAGAGTAGAAAAGGAGTCAAGTTTTTTAAAATTAATGATCGGATATTTGAACTGGATCAGTAGAATATTATGGTCAGTACATACAATTAATTAGAGAATGAATTTAACATGAGTTAATTATCGATTATTAACATATCCAACTAGTTGATTAGTATACACTAATTGAGAATCAACTTGTAACCAGTGTCATATTTGTCTAGATATTAGCACCGATTGGCCCCCAAATACCCTGATACGGCCGAGAGTGGGGAAGGAGTGTCAGCTCATCCACTCGAAATATGACCACTAGTATATAGCCTCTGCCAGGGAATTCCTACTCACTACCTTCTCGTGGCATTACTGTTGTTTACAAAATTGAAAGGACAAAAAGCGAATGTCCAGAGCTTTAACCGGGTTGGTGGTTATGGAAGATTCATCTAGGAGAGTTGAAAAACCCTGATTCCAAACTAGTCGTGCACATAAGCTCCAGGATCCTGAGGGGAGCAAATGGAGTATGAATCAATTATTAATCACCGACTACCGTGGAACTGTATCTCGTTACGTTGTTCCACTGTCTTGTGGATCAGTCCTTTAGGTCGAAGGCTCAGGGTATGGTCCCTTGAGAAGACCATCTGCTTCGGTTTGGGCACCCGGTAAGCATCACAGCCCATACATAAATCAAGTGACTTGTGTGGTGTATGTGTATTCGGTGCCCCTTTTGTACCAATATTTATGTGTTCAACTAAATAAATAAATATAAAAAAAGCTACTATCTCCAACTACTTAACATGTCTTTTTTCTTTGCTTTCAACACTTCTTCTGACACTAGTTTTGGAAAAACATCTTAACTTCAAAATGTGTTTATTACCAGTTAATATACAGTTGCATATGGAATTCATTTTTTGAAGAGTGTAGGCAAGTTATAAAGCCAATGAGCACTTAATTAAATATGGCTTGAATAATAATAGATTACTATATGCACAAAATTACAAGTGTCATTTCATGAATATTTTATACATTCGTAATTTAATCAATTTTACTTAGATGTTAGTCAACCTACCGTCAGTTTATCAAAAATGGACTGTATATACATGCATATATATCATAGGAAACTTACTATAATATTCTGTACTCCAATTACAGTACTTTCATATATAAATTGAACTACTCTGCTGATTAATTGGATACTTCGAAGTTGATTTTTGAAGCTATTTGTAATTGTTATACAGAATAATATTAGCATTAAGTTTGTTTAAGTTGAATGTATTAGTGAATGAGTCTGGGACATGAAGAAAAAGACATTTCCGATTAGTTAGTAATTCACTTGTAAGTTACAATATATTACAATCACCAGTGGAGTTTAAACCCTGTTAAATGTAAGGAAGTTATCGACTGAAAATAATGGAAGATTCCTGAGCAATGTCACGAGCTGATTGAAGTTAGACATTTAAACTATCACATACTGGTCAAGTAGTCTGAGGGTCAAGCCCCCATCATGTGGTCCAGAGGTCTTGATTTCAATCCTCTTTAAGTGGGTTCGTTAACGTACATTGTTGAGGAGTCCCATATTAGACGAACTAACTATTTATTATTTCATGGTTTTTAGTAATTATCTAACATAGGTCAGTTTCTGATCTCAAGAAAACTTCTTAATGCCTTTTTATTAAACTTCTACCCATAAAGTTATAATTTTACCATTGGTTTAAGGGATTCAACAACATAGTGTATACTGTTGAAATGAGATTTTGGAAAGAGATGGTAATTAATAGGAAACCTTGGATTTTAGCTATTACGTTAGTTGGCACCTAAATGTAGTATCACCTAGTTGATTTGTTGATTATTATGATTCATACATATAATATATCTTGAAGAAATATTCAGCAAATATAAATGGTCGTTGTTTTGATCCTGAATTTCTATGATTTCAATAATAGTTTCTTTTATTCATAGACTGATTGATGTAGTATTAAATATCGCCGGGTAACTAATATTGGATCAGAAATTTCAAACATTTTTTTGTTGTTGATGAGTCCCAATCACCCTAAACTACAATTTCACAGAGGTCTTTCTGTTCCTTTCACTCATTAAACACTATAAAGATTTGTATTTTAAAGTTATTTAGACACCGTTTAAAATCACCTCGGAGTTTCTTAAAGTTTCTTAAAGATCTACATTATTAAGCATTTGTTTGTTGGTTCGGTCTATTGAAAAGAAAACTGTGTACCTATCACGAAGTAACATTAGTTGAATGACTATTGGAAATCAGGAATCAGTAATACAGCTGTTTCGTCTTAGTATGAGATTTGTTAGAGCAGTGTTTATCTACGACACTATATGGGAATTCATGTGAGCATTTCTACTGTATTCTATCATTTTGCTAACTACTCTATATTTATTATATACTATTTCCTTTGTTTCCCAATTTCAGTTATACGTTATTTCAGATGATCCAAAAAGAAAAGAATTTCTTGATGAACTTTTTGTTTATATGCAAAGAAGAGGTAAGTGATATTGAAGTAACTAATTATCACTATTCAATTATTTTTTTGTTAAATGAGTAGATTGATTTATTAGTTTATAAATAGGAATAGAATCTATAGTAAGTGTGTTTTGACCCATTCTGGATATGTTAGTTGGATGTAAATACATCTCATTGTATTGATGTTCATATCAGCACTTGAACCCAGTACTTCCAGCTTGAAAACATCTAGGATTCTATTATTAGCCACAATTTATCTACTCTAGAAAATAAACATTGTGACGTAATAACTAGGTTGAGGCAATCCACTCCGGACACATACAGGACACACGTACACCAACAATGAATGGTATGCAATTCATTTCTATATATAGATATTTGAATAATTCAAATCCTGACTAATAATGGTCTAATCAACTATATGTTGATCCAAGGAATACATTATTTTGATGCTAGTTATGAGTAAATGCAATGCTTTTTTTTGGACTTATTTCTTCAAATACTATATGAGGTTACTATGATTATTTGTAATATAAAGCTGGTATTGATTAGTTGAAAGTTATGGATAAAGAAATACATTTCTAACAAATCAATCAATACCAGTCAATAACATCATAATGTTGTATTGATTAATAACTATGTAGTAGTCAATATCATGTTTGTCTTATCCTTAGATTTGATGAATTTCTATCGATGAAACAATCCGACAATTAACCTGTGTACCTACCATTGAGCTAGTTATGTTCAATTGTCTCATATTAGGATGAAACAGATACGATTTAAACAAGTTACACACGAAATCCCCTCAGTCAATCATTTGAAGTTCATTGATAGAATGAGCTGACGGTTATTTTAATAACTAATGATTGTCAATAAGTATTAGTTCTTTAGAAATTTACTTTTATCATTCATCTTCTTATATATTGATGAATCCTTTTTTAGGCTTGAATAACTAATGTTTTAAAAATTTAGTTGTTTAGCCACTATTTAGAATCTGTATCTCATATTCATTGAAAATTTAAACTAGAATTTAAATCCTCTTATATTTGATATATGGATTGTTTACTGACTCATAAAAAGCATGTAAGTATCACACTATGAGAATTAAAATAGTGCAAAGTATCTTGTTTTAGTAAACTTAGATGTCCTTAATGTTTAATGCAAGCATGGTTTCTAAACGGTTCTGATATTTGTTCCGTTCATTTAGTGGATGCAGAATATATATAGTTTTCAATGGTGGTCTAACATTAATTGGTTCATGATCTCAATCAAAAACTTAACAATCTCCACAACCATTATATTGATAATTACCATGTGCCCACTAGTGAATAGCTTCGTGAGAAAATTCTCGGAGTTCTGGTGGGAAGCCGTGACTAGTGGAGCTAATCTGTATCTGGTAGAAACAGGTGTCTACCTCAGTACAATCGAAGGTGGTCGCACAATTTCGTGGATTGGTTGAGGTTAGACATTAACACTATTGGACGCCGGCCGGCTCAGTGGTCCAGTAGATTAACCATTCGCGCGCAAGACTGAATGCCCTGGATTCGAACCCCGCGAGTGGGATTGTGGATGCGCACTACTGAGGAGTCCCACAGTAGGACGAAATGGCCGTCCAATGCTTCCAGGTTTTCAATGGTGGTCTGACATCAATCGGTTCATGATTTCAATTAAAAAATATATAGTTCCGTTTGTTAGGTTGCGCAGTACTAAACATATTCATAGAAGATAGATGCGAATACTTCAATAACATGAAATCTTCAGTAAAAAATTGAACTCTATTATACAAACTTCTTCATTTAATGAACTAGAAACTATTTGGAACCTTTGAAACGTTACAATATTTAATAATGTAGACGTTGACAATAACTTAATCCATTCAGTAATTTAACAAAATTAAACTAAATTACAACTTGGGGAAATAGAATAAACAGCATCTATTGAATAAAGAAAATTTTTGTCAAGAATGATTCCAACTTTAATTAACATTTTCTCTTAGAGGATCAACTGTGAATAGACAATTATGTCCAGACGCCTACACAGTACACATACACACACGCACATGCACATGCACGCGCACAAGATTGGGAGTATGCTTCTATGTACACACTTATTTTATTACTTAAATCTTTTGTAAAATGAACAACTATGAATACAGTCCGTTTCTTGTAAAAAAAATAAATGAACATTGACGAAAGAGATTAAAAACGATGGATTAACATGATCTTGGTTTAATTAAATATTTTTTGTTTTCTAAAATCATAAGTTTAAGGTACAAATTAATAATTGTGTATGTTATGCACGTTTCCCCCCCCCCAAATACTTATTAATCTGTTACAAGACATTATTATTATTATCATAATATAGACTGGTGATTCGAAGGTTTCCTAAAAACAAGCTACTTCTTTCTTCACCCCTCTCTTAATATCTCGTTTTAAAATAGATTAATTTGATCTGATCTTTTATATATATATATATATATATATATATATATATATATATAGAGAGAGAGAGAGAGAGAGAGAGAGAGAGGACAAGATAACAGCAGGATATTATATATAGTTTTGTCATGATTGCATGTTTATGATCATGTAGATTCAAATGTTGATACTGTACTTTCTTTTCTGTTTTCATATATTGTACTACTACTGTAAACCAGACGTATTTATCATTATAATTATTAGATGACAATATAAATAAAACACACGTGTATACATGTGTATACACTATGCTTATTAACTCGTGTTCTAATCATGTTTTAGTGGGGTTTTTTAAAAAAAGGTTCATATTAATAAGAAAAAAAAAACAGGAAATAGTTCTAGTATTTGATTTTTCTTTACTGAATGAACAAAAATTAAACATTGACTGTGTACGGGTATTTTCGGTTGTGTGTGTGTGTATGTATGGTTAATCCTTACTCTCCTACCACCCCTACCCATTATACATACATATACACAGCAGGATTATTTTTTTCTTCTTAATTAGATAGACGATAAAAAATTAATGGAAATTTTTTTATAAAATTTTCACCCCCATCCCCTCCCAAAAAATATAAGTATGTTTAAGATTTTTTTTCAAAAAAAAAGAGACAAAACTAACCAGACCATGATAATTAATCACAGAAACAAGTATTCATCATCACCGTAATAATAATAGTGATAGTGGTTGACGTCGTTAAATTATAATTTTGTTTTCTCTCAATATATTTACTTTTTATAGATATTTATTGAGGGAAATTTTGTTGTTGTTGTTGTTGAGTTTCTATTAGATTTTATCCACCATTTTGCTTTATTCTCTCTTTTTTTGGTTGATTAAATCAAAATTGCACATACAAGAAGAAAAAAAATTATACACAACAGTTGTGTTTTGTATTTTGATTTAAAGGAGAAAAAGATTTTTTGGGGGGGAATGTAGATTAGTTCGTCGCCTTATTTTTGCTTCGAATATACACATCGACATATTGGTGCATCGTAAACCATAGGGAAACAAACATTAAACACAAAAATCGATATCTACATATCTAACTCTGTCATATATGCATCATTATATATATATATATACACATACATTCTAAGCACAGCGAAGCATAAATACATGAATTCTAACAGAAGATAATCTGTAAAGAGACAAACGTGATGATTTGAATTTTATTCTATTATTGTTTGTGCATAGGTGTGTGTGCGTGTGCATTATTCACGGTGGATTAATCTCTGAATGGTGTATAGATATAAAATTGGAACTATATTTTTATACAGACCTACATTTTTTTGAAAATGTAAATTATTATTTTACACTGTAAGATTTTATAAACGAACACTGCTGTGGTTGTTCAATTTGTAATTGAAAACTTCACCATATTTATTTACATAACCTAAATAACCCTAAATTCAGTGATAAGATTGAAGTGATTTGTGGTTTATTGTATATATTCATAAACACATATCTTTATGATAACTGTCGACATACATAAACAGAAGTACACACATCATCATCATCATTCTCATGCCATTTAGATCTGGATCAGTTCTATTTTTTTTTGCGGTTTTATTTTTATCATAGACATTGAACATGGATCTTTGGGACAATGACAAAATTAAAAATTTTAAGCGTTTGTTCATTCATATCAAATCTTAAAAAGAAAAAAAAACAAGTGAAGAAAGGAGTGGTGGAATTTTTTGTAGAATCTTCATGAATGATGATTTTTCATGTATATTCTTAACGGGAGAGGGGGGGACAATCATGAATAATCTAAGGGGATAGTTTACATACAACTGGAGAAAAAAATGAACAAACTTCTTCTGTTGCTTTCTATGAAAAATAAAATAACAATAATTCCTATCTCTTTATATTCTGATTGTCTGAGATAGGGGGAGGGGAACTATCTCTCCTTGTTTAATTTCATGTGCCTTAGATTAAAAGAAGAAAAAAGATCAATGATTTTAATGATGATAAGTTTACTGATACTACTACTAATAGTAATAATAATAACAATCAAATTGATGAATGGGAAATAGTTTTTTCCTATCAGTTAGTTGATAAACTAAATAAATAAAAATATATTTATGTAAGCACCTTTCATTGGTGACTTTTTTTGTAGAAAGAATTGTTGATTAAGATAAGAAAAATTGAAAATAAAATATTACACACGCACACACACGTACATACATACATACACGTATGTCTATGTCTATGTTCAACTATTTTAAGTGTCTTAAATTATACACATAGATAATGTTGGATTATAGATGACAAACTTTAGTATTTTAGGGTATATAACTCATAGGGGTGTGTGTGTGTGTGGTAGTAATAACGACGGTGTTATATCTTGTTAACTTGTTCAAATATAATGAATGATAAAAGACAATAAAACCATTGGCACCTTCACTCCTCATAAACACCTATACAATCTATATCACGTTCTATTAGATATGTATATTTATTTTTGAATAAATAAATAAATGATCTTTATATGATGATTGTAAAGCTTTAGCAGCTGTAATAATAATAATATTTTCTTGTCTCTTT